TAGTAAGTCATACTGGGTCCACTGAATCAATAGGGATTTAGTGAGTCAATTCTTCTGTAAATTCTATTAATTCAAATGGGCCTATTCTAACTGTGGCTTATTTACTTAGATTTTTATCGTGCCCAGCTAGTAGCAGAGCCACAACTCAGGAGGGCTGACAAAGTGACAAAATATTAACAATAAAAACAATGAGAAAAAGGTTTAGATAAAATTCAGAAACCTATCATGACTTATCATACAAGTAAATCACAGTTAGAAGAGACCCATTTGAATCAATGGAGGAACTTACGCAAATTGCAGCCAATACAATGGGTCTACTCTAGTGCAATTTACTACACTGAGCAACAGGATTTGGGCCTGTGCTACTGTGTGTCCCATTTCATGTGTCTTGTTCTGAGCATCTTGGCTTTAAAAGCTATATTTTTGTCTGAGAAGATAGGTAGTAAGAGGATGAAGTAAACAAAACGTTGGTCGTAAGAAACAAAAACCCTTATTAAAATGGTTAAGGGACGTTCCGTTCCTTGGATGCTTTGATTTGAGTCCTCGTGAGACAACTAATGCTCAGCTTTATTCCCGACCTACCAATTTATTGGCTATGGAAAGTCCTGAAATGTGAACAGATCATTCTGAGTGCTTTAAACTCCACCTGAAGCCTAGACTCCCTTTCTTTCTGGACCAGCGCTAGACCACGGGGCTCAGGATGTCTCTTGACTCAGGGTTGCATGGTGGGAAAATGACCATGCCTTCCAGTTTCCTACACTCTTGCCCTCATTTTGTCTACTCTGCAGCTGGCCACTTTCTCCAAGAGGTAGGAAAGCGAGTAGAAAAAGGATTAACAAATGATTTCACAATTGGTGAACCCCCCCCCCCAAAAATGTAATTCATTGAAGTTTCATTAATTTTAAATTGCTGTTTAAGTTGGGTGGGTACATTAAAGACTTACATGGGGTGTGTGGAGTACCACTGTGTCCTTAATCTGAATTCTTCCCTACCCCATTCTTTTAATATATATATATTTATATATTTTTTAAAAAAACTCCGGCCCACACTCCATTATAATCTCATCTCCTTAACCTTCCAAACAGATCCCAGAAATAGCCCCAGGGAGTCAAAAACGAGTTTTCTGGGAAGGATGATGAAGCTCTCTTTGGTATCCAATATGGAACGCAACACAATCTTTGTGTAAAGAAGATCCCAACTAGATATGGGAGCTTTGTATTCGTATCATGGGGGATACAGATATGAAGCTCGACACCACGGGTGCCCCGCCAGTCCATTCCCATAACCCAGAACTGGATGAAGCTCAACACCACGGGTACCATGCCAGTCCATTCCCATAACCCAGAACTGGGTTCCTTGCAGCACATGCATCCAATGGCGGCAGCATCATGCCAATGGCAGACGTAGCCCCACCAACGCTGCCTGCCTCTCTCCTCGATCGACCGTTCAGCAGCTGAGCAGGGAGACTTCTCTTCCAGCCTCCTTGCTGGAACAGTTGATCGTGAAGAGTAGCAGGAAAGCGCCAGTGAGGCTACATCCATGTTTGGTGTAATTCCACCACCGTAGGACACGAGAGTGCTGTTAGGAGCCCAACGAGTGCACTGGGGTGGTTCTGGTGGGGGCAGGAATGGCCCACCGTGGCATCTGTGATGCAGAGCTCTGTATTCGTATCCCCTGGGATGCAACTACGAAGCTCCCGTGTCTAATCACAACCCTGTTCTACGCCGCCTTTCTCATCAGTCGGCTTGACGTCTTTTAATTCTGATACTGTGAGGCTAATTAAATAACGGTGGTTATCGGATTCACGATCGTTCATTGAAGCTCTGTACTCTGCCTGCGCATCAAGGTACCACCCACAAAGTTCACTGAGGCTTACTCCCAGGAAAAGGGCAATTGCCTAATATTGCAAACTGCTACAGATTTTAGGGGGTATGTCTTTTTTTAAAATTCGGATTCAAACTCCCAGAATCCTCCAAGAATTACCCAGACAGAATTCTGGAAGCTCTTTCCCACCGACACACACTTAAAGACACCTACATTTCACTCACCTTATCTTCCGGGCTGTCTCAGGCCTACTTCCTATACAATGCAAAGAAGAAACTGCCTTCAAGGCCTACATGTCTTTGTGGGAGGTATAGTTCTTTGAGGATGCCCTAATGGAAGCAAGACAGCACCTCCCATAAAGACTTCGGACTCCCAGGAAACACTTGGGCAATTTCCTTAATGTAGGCTCAAGACAGGCTAAAAAATAGGGCCTGTTCGAAACGAATGACATTAAAAGGCATTTCTGCAGGCAAGGACAAACATAATAAGAATTTCACTTTATCCTTGAAATATAGCCAAATAAAACAGCTTTGAGGTGAAAAAGCTCAGAAATTGTTCCAGTCTAGTTTATACTGCTCTAACTACAATCAGTGGCCATATTCAGAGTTTGGAACATTACATTTTAAAAGACATTTACTGTGTTAGTCTTTATATCTTAGCAGCCAGATGCCCATTATTGTTAACATCACTCTGATTAAGCAGTTCCTTGTATTCCCCATTGTTGAAGTGTTGACTTCCTTACCAATGAGCCATAAAAATATGCGGGGTGACTGTCTAGTTCCCTCTAGTGGCCAGATCTAATGTTGAACCTTGGAAATACAAAAAAACCAAATGAGAAATCCAAAGAATATATCCCTTGCCATACTGGATTGTTTTAAAAATGCTATAAAACCTTTTTAAAAAATCCTGCCCAAATGTCTTAAATTCCTTTCAAAAATAACTTCCAAAAGTAACTTAGCGTTACTCATTACACCTATAAAGCAATAGGGTAACTACTAGTTATACTTGTTGCTCAAAGATAACTATACTTAAAATAACTAACATTACTTAAAATAATGTTACTTCTAATTTATGACTTGCAAGTTCTGCTTAGATTACATGGCAGGGCAGTTCTAGTCCCTTGCCTTCTGTGACATCCATCTTGGATAGTTCTTTTAGAATGATCTAGAAATGAATATGATTCACCTAAAATCAGAAGTAGAGATTGGAAGGGGTGGGGGAGTCTGCTTTTCCTCACAGGCTTCATGCTCCCCATCCATGCTCCTTTCTGTTTTGATTTAAGTGTCCCCTACAGTCATTATTAGCAGTGTTGTGTTTGTGACACCACAATGTTCACTTTCAGCCACAGGGAACTAATTTCTCTATAATTCAAAGGTCGCATCTTGATTCAATGAGCCATGCTATCTCTCAGCCCCAGTCCCGGCAGCCTTACAATCACAAAGTTCAGGTTTTGTGACCCATTCCATTTAAACATCTTGAGATACAAAGGCAAGTAAAGGACATCTCTTCCACTGTTTTCGAGATACTGTATATACTAGTGAAAGGCTAGAGGGGTGATGGGGTAAGAATGGGGTGCCCTCGTGGCATCTTACATTTCAGCCAATTGTCACAGTCCTAAAAGGATGAGTTGCCGTTTTTTGGCTCTTCAATTACTGTTTCTTTGCTGTTGCTGGAAATGTCCAGAGTTCACCGATTTTGAAATGCTCTTCCATTTTCATGCAGCATCCCAGCATCAGACTAAAAGAAAGCTGTCTGGCAAAGAGACAGACACCAAGATAACACAGTAGTCACTCCGTGTGTGTTTAAATACAGTTCAATCCCATAGGAAGAGCAGGGTTGGAGGGGCTCGGCTGCAAAGGTGAGTATATAGGGATGTATGTCACTATATATAAGTGAGTATATAAGTATATAGTGGAGTCAAGATCTTCCTTGATGCCACTATGTACTTCCCCACTCCTCAAACCCTCTTCTGCAAGAGCTTTTCACACAAACAAGGGCCCCTTTTTTGTAAATTTATTTATTATGTTGTGAGCCACCTTTCTCAAAAGGAGAAAGAGAAATGATACTAAATGAATGAATAAACAAATAAACATCACTATAAATTCTCTCTACAAGCAAACACGGCTAATCTTAACAGCAAAAATGACTGAGCTGTTATACTTTGAACACCTCTGGAGAAGACATGGGAAATACAATAATGATCCATAAGCTCCCTTCCAGCTCTGCAGTTCGAAGACTGAGATTAAGATGAAGGAGACCGATTGAAGGCCACTGGGAAAAAACGAAGACCAAATATGAAATGGATTGACCTGATAAAGGAACACACAGCCTTGAAGTTGCAAGAGCTATCAGGGCTGTTGATGATTTTGAAGGTCACTTATTCATAAGGTCACCCACATGTCAGAGTCTCAACTTCATGGCCCATGGTGACAGCAACAATTTATAGAAATATAGGTGCCCATGGAGAACCAGAAAGTGTTTTCCTCTCATTTTGGGCCTGTTCCTCATGACAGTACATCACAACCAATTACTTGTGCAGTCAGGGCAACCATAATAAACAGCAACCTGACTGTTCAGATTATTCAAATTTTCCCCTATTCTAGTTTCCCCGATTCTAAAAGGCTGAAATCACTCTCCTATAGCTTTCCTATTACTTGCCGTTACAGCTTTAAGTTAAAATGTCTTTGTTTTTTTGTTTGTTTGTTTTTTGTTTTTAAAATCATTTTTCCCATCTCTTCCACCACTGGTGTTTAATTGCTTGCAAACTTTTCTGACAGCGAATTCAGTCTCTGGCTGAAAAAAACATCTTCTGTGCTTTCATCTAGTTAATGGCTTCATAGATCTATGGATGGATCGGCTGTGTGCTGTCAAGTCAATTCCAACTTATGTCAACACTTTCTAGAGTTTTCTCAAAGGATGCGAAAGTAGATATCCTACTAGCCTAGCCTATCTATATAGTTTCAAGGGTTAGCATCCTCTTATTTCTTACTGCTGCAAGCCCTATAATTAAAAAAAAACATGTCTTAATGATGAAGGGTTAAAATTCAGAATTATTGCACCGAACCTGTAACTCCAAGGAAGACCTCTCTAAATTTTTTGTGCTAGTAATGATCATCCATCCAGCTTTATATACCTGAGGTGCCTGCCCCCTTAAGAACCACCCATTGGCAGTTGGAACAGTTGGAACTAAGAGAAAGCCAACAATTCTCTTCCTTTCATCTCCTGACTATGCAAGTCTAGAAATAAATGGAACCCTATCTTTGGGACTGAAGCTGGAAACCGAGGTGGGAAGACATCGGACTTGCTTGTGGGATAAACTTTGTTTTCTACTAGTACCTTGAGATCCTCTGTATTGGGAGTCAAGGTACAAGATGCTGAATGAAGAAGTAAATGTAGGGTGGAAACCTAGGAACAAGGGTGCCTCTGAGCACACGTTCAGCCCAGGAATATGTTGCTAGTATCAAAACTATGCTGCTTCCAAATCTCTCCCCGCCCCCCCAAAAAAAACCCTTAGCTTTTATCCTCCAGGAAGTTTGACTTGGGAAAGAGAAAATAGTTTTATTGTTACCATTGTTGGACAACTGGGAAAAGAAAGAAAGCTTTCCAAATCTACAAAGAATGCCATAATTAAAAACACAACAAACAAAATGGAGATATTGTAGTAGATCTTACCTACCTCCTTCAAACTCCTCAGTGAGACAACTTAATAGGGAACTTACATTATCATGATCATCTTAGAACTGCACTGCTGGAAGGGATGCTATGGAACATCAAGTCTAGATACTTAAACCAGAGCTATCCAGGCTTGGTAGCAGGTCCTGGAAGTAATGACTTATAGCAATAGTTACCTGTAATGAGTTATGTTTGGGGTAATAAGTAATGTCAGTGGTGGTTACAAAGTAGCTTTTTTAGGTGAAACAGGTAATACTTTACATAGGTGACATGAGTAACACCTGAGTAGTTAATTTCAAATTTTTATTTTAAAGGGCATTTAAGAAATTGTAAAAGCATTTTAACAGGAATTGTTCAAGTTTTATGTCATTCCCTTATGAGTCATAGTAGTGTGGGAAATATTATTTGATGTTGGGTTTTGTGTGTCATTTTGTATTTTTATAAATATTTCCAGGATGCAATGTCAGAATTGACCATTAGGAGGTACCAGAGAATACTTACCTCTTTTTTCTGGCCTTGTCAGGGCAGCTGATGATTAAGAATGCTGGGTATTGCAATCCATCCAGAGGACTATCCCCTATTTGCCCCAGGCTATAGGAACAGGTGGCAAAATAGAAGGATATTTCCTAGATTATCCTTCATAGCTCTCATTTAGTTGATCTGCCTTCTGCATAGAACAATGTTTTTAAGAATGAGAATACTAGCATTTTTCACTCATTGGATTATTTTGTAGAACCTAAACATGAAAAAAGTACATTCAATTAACAAATGCCATATTTTAACTCAGGACACACCTGTTTTTAATTTTGAAGTACATATTTTAAAATTCAAGTACTGTATTTTGCTTGAATGTCAAAATCATCACTAAAATGTCTGTGAGAAACCCCAAATCAGCAGTGAATGTGGAGTTTCTCACAGAAGATCAGAAGATGTGGGCAACGTTTTTCTCAGTTTTTAGCGGCAATTGCCCAGCTCCCCAAATCATTTTCAGAAATTCAGATTTATGTTAGACTGAATGAAGTTCTAGTTCTATTCCTCACTCCCCAGGTAAGGGAACATGGTGAAACTTCCAGGTGGCTCCTGAGCCTACTTTAGAGGCTGAAATAATGGATTCTCTGGGAGACAGTGATGAAGACGATGGCCTAGACAAACCACTCCAGTCCCATGAAGCCCATTTATGTCAAGGTATGTCTTCTCAAGATTGACAGGACTGATGGTAACTGCAAGAGGTTGTTGTCAGAAACCAAGTTTTGTGAGGAGTAAGCTTAGGACCAGGTAACCTGGAACAATGTCTTCTCCAATGTCTTGTCATTGTTCAGTCATGAAGTCGTGTCCGACTCTTCGTGACCCCATGGACCAGAGGACGCCAGGCCCTCCTGTCTTCCACTGCCTCTCAGAGTCTGGTCAAATGCATGTTGGTAGCTTCGATGACACTGTCCAACCATCTTGTCCTCTGTTGTCCCTTTCTCCTCTTGCCTTCACACTTTCCTAACATCAGGGTCTTTTCCAGTGAGTCTTCTCTCCTCATGAGATGGCCACAGTGGAGCCTCAGCTTCAGGATCTGTCCTTCCAGTGAGTCTCCTCAAAAGCATCAGTTCTTTGGCGATCAGCCTTCTTTATGGTCCATCTCTCACTTCCATACACCGCTACTGGAAAAACCATAACTTTGACTATGCGGACTTTTGTCTCCCATGTCTACCTCACCACATTCGTTGGAGGTGAAAGGGTGCAATAACATACATTGCACTACAGACACCGTGTTTTCATGGAGAAGAATAGAGGGGGAGCCTCCTCAGGGTTGTACCCTATCTTTTACCAGCTCTCACCTTCTGTTCTTCCTTCTGTCTAAACCAATGCTCTTAGGAATGCTATTCTTACTTCCTTCTTTTCATACTCTTCTGGCTCTTCCTTTGAAGTGAAGATCTCTTAGTTTTGCTTTAGAGAAGGAATGGACAGCCATTGCCCTCCCAACCCCGGAATAAAGACCTTTGCTTTAGAGAAGGAATGAACAGCCATTGCCCTCCGAACCCCGGAATAAAGACCCTAGACAAGAAGTATGGGTTAATCACAGGCCACACTTTATTAAACGTAATCAATGTTGCCATCCTTCGGCAAAGGGGTGCCTACCATATTGCAGAATCTGGTTTAAGAACAGAGTCTCAAAGGACCCCTTAAGCAACAAACGGGTAAGTCCCTGGCCTCAAGTTTTCGCATTTCTAAAGACAACCTGGCCGGCCCCAATTTGACCACCCCAGTATGGGTTAATCACAGGCCACACTTTATTAAACGTAATCAATGTTGCCATCCTTCGGCAAAGGGGTGCCTACCATATTGCAGAATCTGGTTTAAGAACAGAGTCTCAAAGGACCCCTTAAGCAACAAACGGGTAAGTCCCTGGCCTCAAGTTTTCGCATTTCTAAAGACAACCTGGCCGGCCCCAATTTGACCACCCCCGTGCTAATGGGCCATACTTTATTAGACATAATCAATGTTGCCATCATTTGGCAAAGGGGGGCCTGCCGTAGTGCGGAATCAGGTTTAAGAACAGAGTCAAAAAGTACCCCTTAAGCAACAAACGGACATTTCTAAAGACAGTGACAACCCGGCCAGCCCCAATTTGACCACCCCCGGGCCTCAAGCCAGCTTCTCCTTGTTGACTGCTGGTCCAGGTGTGGCTCCAGCGCATCTTCCCCCCAATCACTGTAATCGCACGATCCACAGAGCTGGGAGGTCACATGGGCTATGTCTTACCTGAGATTACAATAGGAGTCACCAACCAAACCTGTTATATCCTCACTACCTGAAAGTGTGACCAATTTTCCACCTCTTAACACACCAGCGCACCTGTTCCAATGTGGAATAGGTGAAAAATCAAATGCCAGTCAGGATGCAGGTCAAAAATTCCTATCCGGCCCCATAGGCGACCAGATACACTCACACTAGAATAAAGGACGGGAGGGTGGGTGCCAGGAAAGGAAGAGGGTGGGGAGAAGGGGAATGTCCCTTAAATAACCTAACATTCCCACCCTCTCCCCCTATGTCCTTCTCATGAGACCACGAGTCTCGCGTTATCCGGGGAAGGAAGCAAAGGCAAGTCGCCCTGCTGAAGTCCAGCTCAAGCATGATGACTTCCAGTATCTCTAGCATCATTTATTAGAACTAGGTTCCTTTTCCCATCACAATGAATTTCTTATAATAAAAAAAAGCTTTCCCATTTATCTAAATAGATAAACTCGATTTGATTACTTTCCGAGTGTAAATCATGCTCCACCAATTGTTTTGATATGTCAATGGGAATCTATTACTTAATGCAGCTGCAATCTCACTTGACTAATGCCTGAAACCTTCTTTGTGGTACCCTTGTCAAGTAAGATGAAGTGGGTGGCTATGAGGTCGTGGATCTTTTCAGTTGTGGCCCCTCCATCATCATCTGAGGAATGCCCTCCCTGGAGGGACTCGCCTGCTGCCTACGTTGTGTACTTTTCACAATTGGGTGACGACGAATCATTTTAGGAAATGGCTTTAATGCTTTTAGATCATAGCAATCTTGTAATTCAACAATGCTACGATTCTCTCCGTGTTTTTAGCTGCGTAGAAGGGCAAGAAAAAAAGAAAGACACTAACAGATATTATCATCTCTCTTTTTCCCCTTATTTTTATTTTCCTAGGCTTGAAACATCTGTACCAGACCCAACAACTCTGTGATGTCACCTTGTGTGCTGAAGGAAGGCGTTTTCCCTGTCATAGGTGACTGACTCTGTAAACCATGTAGCCTCTGTTTCTTTCTATACTCATGTGCCCATTGATAAGATCTCTTAGGTCAGTGAACATGAGAAACAAATTGGAACATGGTCCCCGCGGAGCTATCTCCCACATCATGTGTTTACTGGTTTTAACAGGCAATCCCCACTGGTTTGAAAAGACACACGGCTATTCTAAGCCGCTTCTTCTTAAGGAAGGTTGTTGTTTCTCATTTGATCTGCTGTTCAGGATATTATGTTAGATGGGAATTTTTCAGGGTTGCTGTTTTGCATGTCAAATGGCTATTATTATTTTAATCATGAGCCACCTTTGAAGGTCTCCTGTACTAAAAGCAGTCTAAAACAGCCTAACTCAATACCGAATATTAGCAGGGAGAGTCAAGTAGCACGATTCGCTTTCTCAGACGTGGGACTCAAATCCAAAGATTTGCCAACATCCCTGAATTTTACCTAATGCCAAGTATCAGATTTATACTTAATGTCATCAATAACAGACAGAGCCAATAACAGATAGAGTACTGATCAGCCAGCACTAGCTTCTGAAAATACCCAGAGGGGGAAGTGGAATCTGTGCAAAACGATGTCAACTCAGCCTTAAATCTGAAATTATCTAGAGTGATGGTCAATCATGTAAAAGGAGCTGAAGAGATGTCCTTTAAGAAGGTCACTGAACAGATAATGTTCTAATCTGATTCCCCCTCTTTTTTTAAAAAAATCTTTCTGGTTTTTATATACAGGATGCTGTTGGCATCAGTCAGCCCCTATTTCAGAGATGTCTTCATCAATTCCAGCAACGAATCCCAAAGTGGAGAGATTCAACTCACGGACGTGGCTGCCTCTACAATCCACAGCCTGCTAGATTATCTCTACACGGAGGAGCTGCAATTCACCCCGGAGACTGCTCAGGAGCTTTTTGCTGCTGCCAGCAAACTCCAGATCCATCCCCTAAAAGAAACAGCAGGAAGGTAATGCAAAGCACTCCCTTCGAACCCTGCAGGTTTTGCTCAAAGCTCCAGTTCCCAAACTCAGCATATCAAACACTGCAGAACACACATATGCCGTGAACAGTGTATTTGGAAATACCAAATTTGGAATAGGGAAAGTGGCCCAAATACATCTCTGTTCTTGTTTTGTCTAAAGAAAAGTGGCTTTAGTCAGATACCTGACCCCAATACATCTCTGTTCTTGTTTTGTCTAAAGCCCTGCTTCCGAAGTGTTACACATAAATCGGTGCATCTTAACTCCATACACCTTTCCATGGGGATAAGCAATGTAGGCAGGTCTGGGAGCCAATTTTAGGCACCCATAGCCCTCTTGGGCCTGCTTGGACCACCAAAAAATGAAGGCAGACCTAGCTAGGGGGTCTCCTGGACCTCTTCCTGGATTTTGTTGTTGTCTAGCCATTGTTGTTGTTGTTGTTTAGTCATTAAGTCGTGTCCAACTCTTCATGCCCCCATGGACCAGACCCCATCAGGCCCTCCTGTCTTCCACTGCCTCCCGGAGTTGGGTCAAATTCATGTCTCCTCTTGCCTTCACACTTTCGCAACATCAGAGTCTTTTCCAATAACTCAGTTTAGGTAAAGGTAAAGGTTCCTCTTGACATTTAGGCCAGTTGTGTCTGACTCTAGGGTGTGGTGCTCATCCCCATTTCCAAGCCATAGAGCCAGCATTTGTCGGAAGACAGTTTCCACGGTCACGTGGCCAGCGCGACTAAACATGGAATGCCATTACCTTCCCACCGAGGTGGTACCTATTTATCTACTCACATTTTTACATGCTTTTGAACTGCTAGGTTGCCAGGAGCTGGGACAAGCGATGGGAGCTCACTCCATCACGTGGATTCGATCTTACGGCAGCTGGTCTTCAGACCTTGCAGCACAGAGGCTTCTGTGGTTTAACCTGCAGCGCCACCACATCCCTCTGAACTCAGTTTACTTAATGTTATAATGAGGTTTGGGAAACAGGAGTGAACGATAAGTTGACATGGAATATAACGTTTTGAAAGGGATTGTTAAAAGAGAATAAGTTTGTTGAAATGTGGCAAGATTTTTTGAACTTTGTATTGTTGAGAGGTCAAGGACATCTACCCAAACAAGAAATAATATTATTTTGGAAGGGTGATGGGGCACCATAATCAAAACTTTGGAAGAAATATATCTCTGCTGGTTTGGTGAAGGATGCACTAGTTCTCGATTATATATTTGTTATTATTTGTTCAGGGAGGATGTTGCACTAAATGAATATATCAATATATCAGTACAATGAATCAACAGTAGATCTGTTTATTTAAAAAGATGGGGACAATCAAGAGACAGATTGCAGGGAAGGGTGTTCCTGCATTTCCAAAACATCACACCCCAACTGTTTACATCACCACAAGATCATCCACAGACATGTCCCAATCCTTTTGCAGAAGGAAACAATGACCACGTGGGGAAAATTCCATTCAAACCATTCCAGACTGAAAAAAGTGGAAGCCTCTGGTGGCAAAGAAAAAGCTATGCATCAGGAGCAAAAAGGGCCAGACTGGTTCAAATTGACCTCTGTATTGTGTGATCAGTTTTAAACAAAATTCAAATTCATCTTTTGATATCTTGAGCAAATCCTGAGGTATTTGACTGTGTAGTCCCAGTCTAAAATGAGCGATTCTGTGTTTTCTGTGTTGTTCCCTCTAGGTTTCTTGAAAAGAACATCTCCATGAGCAATTGTCTCAGCCTTTATGGTCTGGCTCATCAATACAACTACCAAGTTCTGATCCGGGCATCCTCAGATTACATCAAGCAACATTTTGGACCTCTTTCCAAACAGGATGCTTTCCTTAGTCTGGGATATGTGGCTCTAACTGACCTCATCTCCTCAGATAGCCTGGAGGTGTCATCAGAATTGGACGTATACCAGGTTGTGCGCAACTGGGTGGAGTCCGCAACCTCTGACCGTCTCCCCCTGCTTAGGGAGCTCCTTGGACATGTCCGCTTTCCACTCCTTACTCACGAGGAACTCCTTGATGTCCAGGCAGACATTGCAGACTATTACAAGCATGTGCGCCTCAGGTGGAAATTGCTGGATGGGACAGGCAGGTTGCAGGAGAGTGGGGGGCTCAGAAAGGGCATGTACGATGACTACTTTGTGTGCGTGGAAGTCGATGAAAACGGGATCCAGTTTGATGGCAACTCAGATTTCAGCTTGCACTGTTTTGACCCTCAGGCAGAGAAGTGGGAAAAATTGCCACCTCTGAAGTACCTGAGCTATTCTGGATGTACAGCTGTTCACTGCAGACTTTACCTGTCCGGAGGTCAGAAGGACAACAGCACTTTTGTCGACACTCTGCATGAGTACAATTCTTTGACTGGCCAATGGACGCAGCTCCCTTCCATGTCCATAGCTCGGGCAGTGCATCCGTTCCTAGCCTGCAACCAGAAGCTATATGCACTGGGAGGCTGCAATCACACAGGTCCTCTCTCTTCTGCTGAAGCCTTCAGTGTGGTGGAGAATGCGTGGGTCCCTATTTCAAACCTTCCCCTTGCCCTGATGTACCCTGCTTCAACTGTGCTCAGAAATAAGCTTTACCTCATTGGGGGGAAATCCTCCAGGACCTATCGGGGCCTCCTGATCTATGACACAAGTACCGACTGGTGGACTGAGATACCTATGGAGTTTTCCTGCTACGGAGCAGCTGCTGTCTCTTTTGGTACTGGGATATATGTTTTTGGTGGATACACAGAGGGTCGTGGCAATTTTCTATCCCGTGACACATTGCCTACAGAGGAGGCTCCTTACTGCACCAAAGGGAGCTTTTATCTCTGTGAAAATGGCAGAGTGAGCTGGGAAGTCATGATACCGGAGTTGCCTGTAGCTTTAGCTTTTGCTTGTACCGTGGAATGGCAAGGCAAGATTTATCTGATAGCAGGCAAAGAGGAGGAGCATTTACACACCACAAACTACAGCTGGGTACCGGAGGACACGAGCTGGACCCAGTGCCTTGAGGAAATCCCTGTCAGCTGTGAAACAAAAATATTCAGCTGTGCAATCCTTAAGATGCCCAAAACCCCAATCCGATCCCTTCTGTTGGACATGACGACAACTTCAGCTGTGGTTGGGGTGGACGATGCCAAGAAAAAAGGACAGCAGCGTTCTTCCATTAGAGAGAGCTGCGGCCTTAACTGCTGTTGGGGTGGAAAGTAATAAGAAAGTACTTCCAAGTCATTATATTTCTGCTTCTGCTTCCAGGAATGGACTTCCAATGAAAGAAGTCTATGACTTTGCCTAAACTAGGACTTCCATCTGCTTCCAACTCCCATTCCTTTGATGGGTGCTATCCTTGAAATCGGTGGGTTTCATGGGATAGAGAAGGTGCATGAATAAGCATCATCCTCTGTTAATCCTCTCCACTGATTAGAAAGTAGCTGCATCTCTCTCTTATTAAACAGCCGAGGCTTTGCTTGAATTTTGGACTCGTTATCTCCATCTCCTTAACTCAGCTGGAAATTATTGCTTTAGTGCATTTATTCATTACACTTATGTCCTGACCATCCACTAAACAAGTCAAAGCAGTTCAACATCTGCCTCCCAAAGAGGCACTACAGGGCTCTTGGCCCACTGAATGTCAGCAAGGGAAACTTTGTGATGTCTTCGGATCATTTAAAACAAGAGCGGAGAATGTGAGTCCAGGATAGATGTACAGTATTCCGTCTCTCCAAATCTGGGTATCCTTAGTATGTAAAATGCATATGATACAAATTAATTCCATCAATTGTTGCACTGTTTTTCTACCACTATTTTTGCAGTCTTGCCATCATTCATAGAGTAATCAGTAACCACTCACCTGGTGTAGGAAAGGCAGGTTGAACTCACCAAGCAGTCACAAAGCTTACTTTGTGTTCTTGGGCCACTCCATATGTCTTGCCTAACCCCCTTTTTTTTACATGAGAGTTTTCAAGTTAAAATGGAGAAAAGGGAACCATGGAATAGCTGGTCTACACAAATATAGAAATAATGACATTTTGCCAGTCAGAGGTACTCCTGCTAATATTCTCATGGGATGGCTGTTGTCTTTGGTTATCAGCTTTTACTGATGGGGGGACCTCTACAGACCTATGGGAATACCATAAGAATGCCCCACAAGTGATATACTGTCATTTGATCTGCAGAACAAAGTGTAAAGGATGCTTGTTGTGGGTTTCTCGGGCTCTTTGGCCAGTTTCTGAAGGTTGTTCTTCCTAACGTTTCACCAGTCTCTGGCCGGCATCTTCAGAGGACAGCACGGACCAGAGCACAGAGTGCTATCCTCTGAAGATGCCAGCCACAGAGACTGGCAAAACGTTAGGAAGAACAACCTTCAGAACACGGTCAAAGAGCCTGAAAAACCCACAACAACCATTAGATCCCGGCCGTGAAAGCCTTCGCCAATACATTGTAAAGGATGCTTTGTCTTCTTTCAGGGATGCAGATTCAATATTTTATTAAAACCAGAAAATATCCTTATTTACCTTTATTTGCCATATTTGGCTTTTTATCTGTCTATCTTAAAGGCCGTGCCAGTCCACTGAACATCTCCAATATTTTTCTTCCACTCCTCCTCAATATAAATCCTTTTCAAGTCCCCACAACAATTGGATGTTGTTTTCTTTAAGTACTATGGACTACACTGATACAAGGGTTGAAATTCATAGCAGAATTTTTTTTTCATTTTTTGGATTTCATCAGCCAGAGTCCTTCAGCCAGCATAGCCACTGTCCATACTACTGTCAAAATAAGGATGTTATAGTCCAAAATAATTACTTTGCCCATCTCTGCTTCCAAATAGGTTCAGCTATATCAATCTCCTATGCACTTTTAATGGGGGGGGGTACCAATTAATGTAACATATTTCTGAGTAAGCACTTTTAAAATCCAGACCGAGACAAATACATGCAGAATTAATTCTTCAAGAAGGACATCATAATTTTCTTATCATTGTTTAAAACCTCTTCCTGGAAATTTAAGCTTGACAGCAATCACAATCTCAACAATTTTAATGTGGTGAAGAAGAAGAAGAAGAAGAAGAAGAAGAAGAAGCTAATAATTTATATTCCTCTTTCTCTTCCTTTCGTTTTCCTCAATTCTTCCTTTCCTCAGGCTAGCACCTAGCTTAGCTCTCAGCCTACGTTCCCAGAAACTAGAACTATGCACTCACATAATTCTATAAATATAGAGCTGAAAGGAATTCCAAAGGTCACAAAGTCCAAGCTCCTCTGAAGCAGGAAATACAGTAATATGAATAATATTAGGGAGTGAAATGTTTCTTTTTGTTCCTTTTTTCATCTCCAACATATGGTGACCATATGAAAAAGTGACTTTTTTTAAACTCCAGCTTTTGTAATCCTGCAGCCAATGTATATTTGTGTGGCTTCATTGTTTGCTTTGCCTGCACTCTTTGCAGGCATCTATGCCAACAGATTTGAGCTGTTTGCAAACCATCTATGTGCAGACGGTCCCACAATTGCAACATTTAGCCATTAGAGTTTGAATCATTGGCTTACAGCTTACATATTGTGGAGATCCTGTCGAACTGAGCATGGTTTCATCCGTTGACTAATCACATGGAAGGAGCAGTTTCTTGTACAGAAAAGAAAAAGAAAAAGAAAACCATTGTCCAAAATAGTGGCTGCATGTTCTACCTTATATCTGTGAATCCAGGCCATCTGATGAGTTAGATGGGCATCAATGGCATGCCCAAAATCTGCATTAAACCCATTCAGCTAACTAACATAATGCCCTTTGGTAATGTTGCACTAGATCTCCCATCATCTTGACTTTTGGCTCTGTTGCCTGAAGCTGAAATCCAACAACATCTGGAGAACCACATCGTCCCACAGTCTGAACAAAGTCACCTTCTGTAGCTCCCCAAAGGATATGATGGTGGTTTCTTTGGGAAGAGTGCGAACCATCTACTTTGTATCACTGCTTTAGGATTCGGTCCAGAATTTACCTAGAATGGGAATCTATTAAGTTTCAGGCAAGGTAATTTGGAGAGACAGGAGAGAGATTCTATATCCCTGTTTCACAGATAACAGTCACATTTGAGATTATCCTACTAGATTTCACTGTATTTTTGTTTCCTTTGCTTCCTTTGGTAGGCACATATCACAGCTTTTCACTATGGTAAAAGCTATTCACATCAGAAAAAAATCCTACCAAAACATTTCATAGAGGAGGCTTTCTCAACCTTGTGCCTTTGAAATGCTGTCAAGTACACATCCCATAATCCACAACCGTTGGTCTTAGAGGCATGGGGCAATGGGAATTATAGCGCAAAATATCCCAAAAACAATTAGGATGAGGAAGGCTTTCATAGAGCTTTAGTCAACGTGCATAACAAACAGATTGTATGGGAGTTTTTTGTTTTGTTGACTATTTCCAAAAACGTTTGATTGTGTGCAGTGTTCTTTGGGAAGCAAAGGCTGGCCACTGATGAGTATGTTTATGAATAAGGGCTCCCTGAAAAGACCTGCAGTTGAACAAAATTGCAATCATAATGTTGCAGAAAAAAGTCAGAGCTACTTCTCCTCTGGAACAAAACATGCAAAAGATGATTATGAAGTTGCAGGTGTACCCTATAAAGGTATACTTCACCTGGCAGAGGTTATGTATCCCACCTTTTCTGCTGTTGTGGGGAAACCACAGTTAGTACAGTGGCAAGACAGTGATTCTGCCCTGTGAGAAAATGGTCTTCCAAAACTCTCCTTTCATTTCATACAAAGAGGAAATTGGGAAGAGGGAAATATTTCAGTGAGCATACTACAGGAGGCTGGTAATTCTCCAATACTTTCCTGGAAAGGGGACTATCCATAGGCAGTCTGGGCATTGTTTTGTATCCGACACAAAACTTCAGACCTAACATCATTCCAGGATGGAATGTAGGCCCCTTCCAACTTCACTTTTCTACACTGTGAGCACTGAGCAGGGGGGTTGGACTTGATGGCCTTGTAGGCCCCTTCCAACTTCACTTTTCTATGATTCTATGAAAGGAAAATGAAGAAAATATCTCGTCAAATGTCTCGCTGTCTTTTTTCTAAGATAGTGTGCAAAGGAAACCTCTCAGAATTTTTCTTTAGAGAATGTATTCTGAATGATCTGAGACCAGAACTAGCAAGTAAATTGCAACTTGATATTCAAAATCATTTATTCTGACCTCACTATGACTCTCAGTTCATCAGAACACATAGCTGACCCCCGACCAACCATCACGTAGACAACTATCTTTTGTAAAGCAGGACATATGACTCCGGCTGGATCAGAGGTCTAGACTCACCTGTATTTCTTTGTGCACAGACAGTGTGGTGTAGTGGATAGAATGATGGACTAGGAATCAGGAGACATAGGTTCAAATTCACAACTGACTATGGAAACTCACTGTGAGTAAAACCACTCCTTAAATATCTTGCATATCTTGAAAATCCATTTAGAACTGCCCGAAGTCAGCGATGACTTGACAGCAGGTAGAACACATATTTTTTGTGGGTCAGGTAAAAGCAAAACAAAAACAAAAACAAAAGACACAACATTGTCGCACCTTAAACACTGCTATATTTTAATAGGAGCTTTCATGGACAAACCCACTTCTTCAGACATGAGATTTTTTTGTACTCACTTTTGTACTTTTTTTTCAAAATTAAAAACTGACCACCACCACCACAATCCCAAGGTTCTGAGGCTTTTTAGGATCCCTTTCATCCTGAAGAAGCTTTTGTAAGCCATAAGATGGGGCTGGAAAGACTTTAATATCCAAAAATCATTGTCAACCATTCTGGTTACACCAGAAGACCTCAGCCGCTATTTCAGATTTCAAGGAAAGTTAAGCTGAGATCAGAATAGAGAAATGCCCCCCTTCTTTTTCACGTCTCATGCTTTCTGTATGGTTGTGCATTGTGGGCACGTGACATATATCCTGTGATAGTGCTTCATATGTTTTTAACTATTCCACTTTTGGGGCAGAGTTAGTAGTAGTCTCTCGGCAGGCTGGATTTGATGCAGAAATAGCACGGAGGGGGGACAAAAGAATTGATAATAGCCTTGCATCATCTGAACTGCAAAAAAGGGTCAAAATTGACAAGGAGTAACTCAAAAACATTTTGCTGGTGTGACCACATCCTTAATTGAGTGAGGAGTTCTTTCCTCAAATACTTCCATCCTGCTGCCACTGTCTGTGACTTCAGCCAGCTGTCTCACTTTGCCTAATGGTAGCTGAGCCTATAATACAGAAGGAGCCCTGCACTATCATTCCCAACAATCCTCAAAAGTCCTATGGCTTTTTTTTTCCTCACATGAATTTGTTTGAATGACAGCAGAATTATTAAAGACCTAAAGAACGAGACTCTAGCAGTGCAACTGTTCTGAACAACAGACTTGCAAAAATCCCCTGGAGGTATCTGATTGGTATGTATGCTGATAAGCGAAACACCTTAATTGAATACCCGTTGTGATGGTTTCATGGTTTCAGCTTTTAACTCAGAAAAGCTGAAGCTTCTGCTCTTTGCTCGTCGGCTTTGATGTGCTTCCTGCACAGCAGCAGCCGGAAGAGATCCCATCACCACGAGGGTATGCAATCAAATGTACGCTAGAAGATTGCTGCTGGTTTTAGTTCCCTATTCTGTCAATGATTTAGCCATGTCAACCAATTAAAAATGTATGCGCCACCCGATGAAAATAATTGCATTTGTTTTTACTAGCTGGTCCCCATCACCAAGATGTTAAAGCCTTCAAAGAATAATGAAGGGGGGTATTTTAAAAAGTTATTCACTTTCTGGTGACACATATAAAGTGAAAAACTTTAAAATCCAGAGAATCCCAAGCCAGGTTTTGATTGGCAACAGAAGTTTGAATGCTTCCTTTTCGTTGCTTCTTGCCATGCTGAATGAATTATTCAGAAACTTTCATTTTTGAAGCCACTATTTAATATAACATGATTCCCCAGCCAGCAAAAACAAACAGAACATAAAAAGGATCCACCAAATAGACTCCCTCCTCTTCACATCCACCCTGCACAAAGGAACATGGATATAATGTCATCAGCATCCCTTGAAGTGGAACCCAGAGGCATAAAGCACCTAACGGATCAGAAACAGACCATGGCCATCTC